ACCAAAATACAAACCCGAGGTCAATAAATCCAACATCAGTAATTTCTTAAAAATCATTAAGCTTTCAAGCTTTTAATTTTTCATCAAAATTCTATAACTCGGGCTAGGGACCTCGGAATTTGATTCCGGGCATATGCCCAAGTCCCAAATCACAATACGGACCTACCAAAATTTTCAAAACATTGATTCGGGTCTGTTTGTTCAAAATGTTGATCAAAGTCAACTTAATTGAGTTTTAAAGCTCTATTTCCCATTTTAATTTATTTTTCACATAAAAAACTTTTTGGAAAATTGTACGGACTGCGCACGCAAGTCGAGGAATGATAAATGGTGCTTTTCGAGGTCTTAGAATACAGAATTACTTATTAAATTTAAAGATGACATTTTAGGTCATCACAGTTACTATCTTTGAGTTAACAAATTTGGAGTTTTTAAATTATTCTAAAATAAAAAACGAAAATAAAGAAAAAAACTGCCAATTCAAATCCGGGAATAGTTTCTTCCTAATATGGTAGGAAGATTACATTGATTTCAATATGATAGTATTTCGATTATGTGTAAACGGATTCAAAATAAGCCATATAGAAATTTAGGACAAAGTTAGTAAGGTTAGGTAATGATTAATTCTTTTGAATTTAAATTTTAAAAAATTTAAATTATGCATTATGTACTGTTAATTATTAGTTACTCTCTTTGAGTTTACAAATTTAGTATTTTGAAATTATTTAAAAATTAAAAACGAAAATAAGAAAATAAAATAAAAACTGCCAATTCAAATTTAGGGGTTGTTTCCTCCTAATATAGTAGTCTAGATTTATAAACATCTGCCAAATATTTTTTTGATAAAGAAAATAATTTGGTTTCGAATTTATAGATAGAAATATTTGAGTTGAGATAAAAAAGAAAAAGTTCATTTGCTGATGAAAAATAATATAAAATAGCAATTATTAAAAATATCAATAAATTTATGGCAAAATAGTAAAATTACTTTACTGTTTATATTTTGAAAAAATTCAAAATTACAATTTTATTTATATATGATTATTTCGATTATATGTAAAATTCAAAATGAAAAAAACTAATTAATTATAATATTACACTAGAAAAAATGTACAAAGATGAAAATATAGATAATATGAGGATATTTCAACATTGAATTAATTTAGAAAAATAAAATAAATTAAGTAGATAATACACAAAGATATTATTGATAAATTTAAAAAATTGAAGAATTGTGAACATTAAAATAAAATTTAAAAATATGTTTTTGAGAAGTAATAGTGGAAATGATATTAAGCCAAGTGACACGCTGATAAATTATCATATTAATTTTGTAGTAATGTTAAATAATAAAAATAATAATAAAGAAAAATAAGAAACAAAAAAGTTATATGATGACTAAATAATTCATTTTTCTTTAATTTCATATAGTTTTGTTAATGAAATGTTGCATTGAGAAGTAAGATGCCAATTGAAATTTTATTAAGGTAACAATTAAGGTAATTAAAATTCTTTAAAATTGACCGCGCAACGCGCGGGTTCTAATACTAGTTTCTTATTAATGATGGAAAATTTCATTCATTTTTAATTGTATTGAAAACCTAACTCATTGACGTTGTTTTGTCTAATCCTCAGGTATTTCGAATTCACGATTCACTATTTATAAAAGGAAAAAAATAATATTCTTTATTTAGAATATTTTCTATTTCTAAGGATCGAACTCGAAATAGTGTCATCTACCCAGTACATCTTTTTGGTGGTACGGAAAACTTAACTCAAATAGATCATATCTTAGGTGCATACCTTTAATTGGTTTCAGGTCACAAAATTTACCAACTGATGGAATATTTGTTGAATTGAATTTTCTTTTAGTTTGTTTTTAAAATATGTTTCGATCTATATGACAGTTTTTTGGTGTTGAGATATTACAAAATATTTGAAGCTATTTCACCAACGATTTTCAAAAATATGGTTACATTTTATTATTCAAAAGTTTAAACTATATCTTTTTGTCAAATAACTTTTCAAAGTACCTTTTTGATTTGATGTTCCCTAATGGAACGACTACCTAATTTTTTCGTATTTTTTATTGTAACTACTTATGTGGTAAATTGATTGAATGCTCAGTAAGATATCATTTCAAGAATGTAAACCTCTATAATTACTTTACTAATAATATTATTTCAAATGATTTTCACAGCTTTTAAGAATGTAAATTTATTTGATTATTCAAAAATTTTAAAAGTCAATTTTCTTAATCCAATTAGCCTTTCAACAATTATAATATTTTGAACTAAGTTTAATTTTAATATATGACAACCATCTTATATAGTAAATAAATTAAATTAATGTTTTAATTTATATTTTCAATTACATACTACTACCATATAAAATTGAATAAAATGAGCAGCAAATATTGTTTGGGTGATCAACTGATCTTGGTGGGGTTGAGTGTAGTCAAACACCAACGTAGGCCGTTTGGGTGCTTGGGCCAACCAATAGAATAATGCGAGAACTACGACAGCGGTTCAAAATACAAAAAAAATCAGTCACTTAACTATTCGAAGAATTAACCCAAATAACCGTCCACCTAATCTCTTAAACTAAAAATAGCCGACAGATATATAATATATATAAAATTTAAGTATAATATATTATGTATAACCAATATATAATACATGTATATCGACTAAAAAAAATAAACATATAATCTGGCCGGCTATTTGTGTAACAATCTATAACTATTTTAATCATCTTTTGCCAACAAAGGGTTGTTAAAAAATAAAAATAAAATAGTTTTTTAATCGGTATATCCATGTATAGTTACATGTGTGAGTTACATGTGTTGTAGAGAAAAGTTTCGACCCAATTTTAACTATGAATTTTGGTTTAGTCCAAATACCTAAAATCTTCCTCAAATTTTAGGGGTGTACAAAAAAACCGATAAACCGCACCAAACCGATAATCCGAGCCAAATCGAAAAAAAAATCCGATGTGGTTTGGTTTGATTTGGTTTGGTATTGAAAAATAAAATCCGACCATAATTGGTTTGGTTTGGTTTTAACTAAAAAAAGTCAAACCGAAACCAAATCAACCCGATAGTACATTTATATAATTTTTAAAAATATTTTATACATATAAATATTTATTGTAATGTAATTTATAAATATTTCTTAAACTTTTTCACAGTTTTATCTTTTAACGTATTATTTCAAGTTTAGACTTAACATTCTAGAATGATAAATAAATTTTAAAGCTCATAAATGTAGTAACTCAAACAAAGTTCAAATCAATACTAATGCTAACAAAAGAAATTCAATTCAATACTAGGAATGACGATAGTGTTGGATAATTATTTTAGTTTTACATTGGTTTATAATGAAAATGCATAACTTAGTTTATCTTTTTCTTTAGTACTTAGTTATATAATTAATATTAGTACTTATTAGCTATACTTATTTTAGCATGACCTATATTGTATTTTTAGATTATGTTAATTTTTATTATGGCTTATTAATTAGCAATATTTATTTTATGTAATTTTATTATTTTATTTTTGTTATTGAATATTTTAGTATAATGCTATGACTTAATTATCTCATATTATTTTGTTAGTTTCTTAGAAAATACATTATATAGTTGTATTTTACTAGGACTTAAGAAATATTTGGAGCACGAATTACATATTTTATGCTATGAAGACTTTACCCGGAAAAAAAATAAAAAAACCCGAGAAAAATCGAGATTGAAAAACCTGACTTTGTTGGTTTGGTTTGGTTTATAAATTTAAAAACTCGACACTATTGATTTGGTTTGATAATTGAAAAATTCGAACCAACCCGACCTATGTAGGATATACAAAGAATGCACAGAAGATATGTTATACATGCAAAAACTTTCATCTTTTTCTTAGAACCATAGCTCAATGTTCAAATCAAACAACCTCAAATTTCCACTAAATCATTTTCAACAACACCCGCTCAAAATAAATTCCTATTTTAAAAATCCAAATTCAAAACTCAAGCTTAAGCAAGCTTCATGGTTGTCCATGGCGTTTTCAGTTCAATAGCAGAAGGGACTGTCGTGCTATAAATCCAACTTCTAGACTTAGATCATATTAACCTTCAACTTTTTGTTCTTACCTTTATCGAATATATTTGAATGTAAATATTCTTAACTCTTACAACTTTAATATAGTAACACAAAAAAGAACCTGTTTTACTTGCACCTAAGAAAGAAAGCAAATTAAGCTATCGTTTGGTCATAAATTTAGTTGAAACTTGAAAAAAATAAATTTTTGAAGATGAGATGAAAAATGATTTTTGAAAGTTAAAATTATGTTTGAACATGCTTTTTACTTGAGAAGAATTTGAAGTTTTATGAGTAAAAAGCTTCAAAAACTACTCTAGAGCTGTTTTTAGGATTTGAAGATTTTATTTTTCAAAAAATGCTAAAAAATAGTTAAAATCTATAAACAAACAGATATTTGAAAATAAAATTTGAAAAAAAAAAGTCCCAAATTTTATGGTCAAACGGGAGCTAATCAGGTGCACATAACTCAGTAAGCTAAGATAATGATTCAGTAATTATATCACATCCTAAATGAAGCAGCACCATATAAGGAGGTATTCATACACGGCAGAAATTTTTGCATGCATGTATACCTATATATTATGTAGTTAGTACATATAATTTTATACATATTAATATTAATAAATTGAGCAAACAATGCAGTGCACATAATCTAGCAAACTGGAATAAAAAGGGCAGCCCCATGCACTAAGTTCCCGCTATGTGCGGGGTTCGAGGAAGGGCCGGACCATAAGGGTCTGTTGTACGCAGCCTTACCCTGCATTTCTGCAAGAGACTGTTTCCACGGCTCGAACCCGTGACCTCTTGGTCACATGGAAGCAACTTTACCAGTGCACATAACCTAGCAAACTGGAATATAGATCAGTAATTATATCAAGAACTAAATGAAGCAGCACCAATAAAGGAGGTATTCAAAACCTGCAGAAAATATCCATAAGAATCAAATTTGTTGGATATAAGCCACTCAAACCAACATGAGTATCAAATTATGCTTAGCTTCGAGGTCTCGCTAAACTTATTATCACTGAAAAACAGGTAAAAACTAAAAGACCAAAGACCATTGTTTTCTCTATCTGAGAACGGTTCCTTATTTTTAAGTTTAGCTCAAATCTCTTGAGCTTTATCAAACAAGAAGATGCGGAATGATGCCACAAGTCAGTTCACTCGGTCCAAACTAAACTGATTAGTTGCAGCCGAGTGAACATGGAATGCACGGATTCTCAACGTACCATAGCGAGCCTCCTGCAAATGGGGCAAGAGTTCTCGGACTTGATCCACTCTTTGATGCAATTAATATGGTATACATGGTCACAATCAATTTTTGCAAGTTCTTCCCCGTCCCAATACTCATCCTAAGACACGCATGACCAAAAAAAAATGTTAGAATCAGACTTACATAAGCTTACGGACTTGAGGGGGGGTGTTATGAATTCTGAAATTAGGTGCCCCTTACCAAGCATATGCAGCACTGTTCCTTGCACTCAAGACATGTTGACGAGTCGTACTTATGCAGCTTAATGTACAAAGGAAAAGTTGTGTGCCTCAATGCAGCAATAACATTTCTCATATGCTCGTAGAGTTCCAATTCCATTAAGAGCTACAAGATTAAACACTATTTAGATATATCATCCATTCAAAGGAAGGTTCAAGTATGCTGTATATAACACTAAATTATCTGTTTCCGAAGCATTACCTCATTGTCAATAGTAGGATTCTGCCCATCATTTTCACCTTCTTCTTCCAGTTCACCTTCACTTTCCTGAAATGTTGAAATCACTTAGGGGCAGACTGCTTGAACACCATATCGGCTAAAAAATTAAAGGGCAACCCAATGCACTGAGCTCCCGCTATACGTGGGGTCCGGGGAAGGACGGACCACAAGGGTCTATTGTACGCAGCCTTACCCTGCATTTCTGCAAGAGGCTGTTTCCACGGCTCGAACCCGTGACCTCCTGGTCACATGGCAACAACTTTACCAGTTATGCCAAGGTTCCCCTTCACCGGCTTAAAAATTGCATGACAAATATATAAGAGCAGAAGATTCTAGCCTTAGCTTTTGGTTATACCAAAGTGAGAAGGAAATCTATGACAAGCTTTCTTTCTTTATTTTCTATTTTATAACGAGCAACAATCTCTTAATTGTGTTAAATAACCCTTCTGAGTTGCTCTTATCCTGGTAGTCTGGTACAACCAGAAGGTAGACAGTAGGTAGAGAATGGAACTGCTCTTACATAATCAAGCGACAGAAGTTACTAAACGTGTGCACATGAAATAAGCGCAACTGAAAAGTCACATCATCCCTATTCGTATTCATATAGACATAAATTCACAAAATCCTTGTTTTGAGTAGTGTATAAAGAATTGACGTTGGCATTCCAGTTCCTCAGCTAGGTCAGTGTAGAACACCAACTTCGTCTATGATTTATGTATTTTAAATTAAGTGATGGAGCCGGGAGTCTATCGAAAACAACCTCTCTACCCCCCAGGGTAGGGGTAAGGTCTGCGTACACAATACCTTCCCAGACCCCACTTGTAAAATTATACTAGGTAGTTGTTGTTGTCAATTAAGTAATGCTCTGTCTTTTTCTTTGGCATAGTGTGAAATTAAGGTTATTGAAAAGGTACAGAAAACTACTAGTCAGATAAAAAGGAAGTGCACAACATGGTGGGAACATTCCCATGAAAAATATAACAATTAAGATTTTGTAAATTAATCATATATAAATACAAAAAAGGTAAAAATGAAAAAAAGATCTACAAGTTAGCAAGACTTTAAGAATTATCAACTAATACATATATTTATAATTAATGCAACTCAATAAGAAATTATTGGACAATAAAAATAAAGGTTTTCTGATGAAGCAATTTTTTCTAAGAATCAAATATATAAACTACTTAAAAAAAAAAAGGCAGCCCGGTGCACTAAGCTCTCGCTACGCCGTGTCCGGGGAAGGGACGGACCACAAGGGTTTATTGTACGCAACCTTACTCTGGATTTCTGCAAGAGGTTGTTTCCACGGCTCGAACCGGTGACCTCCTGGTCACACGACAACAACTTTACCGATTACGCCAAGGCTCCCCTTCATATAAACTACTTAAAGTGTAGGACTAAGTTTCAAATCAAGCGTTAAACACAATTATATTGATAAGACATGGTAGAGATATTCGAGAGAATTTGTCCATCTCTATATCCTTTCCCAAAATCAATATCCACAATGTGTCCAATTTTGTTAAAAAAAAATAGACGGCTAAATAATATAGAACCACCAAATTAAAAAAGAGGAGTACAACTGAAACCTTAGTAAAGTAAAGAAACTTAACTTGAATCATGGTTTGTGTAGATGAATCGATCACATCTGCCGTTCTCTCTCCACCACCAGCATTAGCAGAAAGGATGTCATGAGTATGTTCAAGCAAGGAATTCAACGTCGCGCTCCCAGAAATCATTCGTTGACATACTAAGCAAAATTCAGCATGAGAAGAATCGTTTACATCCTCCTGGTTAGACACGAATTCAGCTGATGCACGATCACTCTGTCCGAGTTCAGCCTGCACTTCCTCGATATGGGACTGGATAGTGACATTTCTTGGCATATTAGTAGGAGTTGAATTAGCACTAGCATTAAGAGTTCCACTGAAGGTCGAGTTTTCAGCATTAGAGTTGGAGCTCTCCATCTGAGGTGCAACAGGATATTTTTTGTTGTTAGTTAGAACGATTGGTTGAGATTTTGAAATCCTCTTTACTAATAGAAGAGAGATAGCTTTGTGAAGAGCTTGAAAATTTCTTTTCAGCAGAATTACCGAAATCTTTTCTTGGGCCAAAGAATTGTACCAATGGAAAAGCTACAATGTACTGAAAGCACAGGTGTAAACTAAAAGAGAAGAGGGGAGAAAATACTGAAAGCACAGGTGTGTAAACTAAAAGAGGAGGGAAGATCACCAAGTAAACCGCCAGTACAGTAGGTGACGGGGAAAACTACCTCATCAAAAGACAGCAACAACAAACAACAAATGCAGTGTAATCCCACATAGTGGGGTCTTTGTGGGGGGAGGGGGGTAGAGTGTACGCAGACATTACCCCTATGTTGTGAAAGTAGAGAGGTTGTTTCCGATAGACCCCCGGCTCAAAGATAAAGGAAAAGAAGCAGAAATAACAATTGGTAACAACAACGAGATAGGTGATACAGAGATAGAATAATCAAAGCAAACGAACCAACAAATAGTAAAAGAAATCTGAAGATAAGAAGATACGGATATACAAGACTAGTACTTATGCAACCAGCATGAAAAGGAGACACGCACGCCTATAGACTAACCTTCTACCTTAATCCCCAATCTCCAGACCCTTCTACATTTAAGATAAAATATAAAGGTAGATATAAAGTTAAGGAGTTACAATATGTGTAAGCTTTAGGTGTTTGATATAAGGAAATTGATCCCATACTCTCCCACAACAACAACACTAGTGGATGCAAAACCATTGGGAGAAGCTCACCTTTTTCACTAAACATGCATTCTCATTTAGCTGTTACTCCTTATTTTCCACTTCATCCATCACTAAAAAAGTCAACATTTCCTATTTAAAGGGCCAAACGGATTTGCATTGGTTTCTCAAATGATGTGTAATGCTTTCTAATTCAAAGTTCAAGATTAGAAGTGTTTTCTGTGCTTTGAAGTACATAGATCTATTATAATGAACCAATACAACATTAGTCAAATTGATAATGTTATAGCCAATCAGGTCAAGCTTTTTAGACGGAAGGAGCCTATAATAAAGCACTTCCAAAGTTACAACTTCATTAAATAAAGCTTTTTACTTTTGCTACAGAAATGATATAGTAGTTGCATCATCTAGAGAAATAATACAGTTCCTCCATTATTTACTTTGAGCTGTTTATTGAAATTATTCCGAACTGTCATATTTCACAAGGATTTCAAATTCATCTACAGTTACTTGTGCAGGTATTGGATAAAAGTTGTTTATTAGAGTTAATTAATAAATTTCTCTAACTTGCTGGGAGGTCAATCATATGTTAGCAAGAAACTCACTTTCCTTTCTCGTCACTTTCTTGTCCAGCGCATTCTCTGGATATATAAAGGAATTTAACCTGACAGATATTAAATAACCTAGAACTTACTGGCAGATATCCTTGTATATACAGAGATCACCTAAAAGGAAAATCTATCACATTAAGCCAACCTCCGGAAAATACAAAATTGCAAAAAGGAAAATATCCCATAAAAGGTTTACAAGAAAAGACAGTTTCCACAGAAACAGGTAAAGAAATATTTACCTCAAGTGTAGCAAATGTTCCCTTCGGATCGGAAGACACTAGATAGAGAAACTTCAGTTGTCTGCAAAACCAATAATCATAGCTGAGGCTGACGAAAAACTAAAGAAGTTTAGCAGAATCTGGAAGCAGTAAGTACTGTTTGATAAACTGCAAAGTTATTCAAACTCTCTTGCCCTAGAGCAGTATCTATTCAAAATCAAAATCTGATGCGAAAAACATAATATAGGAAAGAAATATGACTTATCAGAAAAGGAAAGAAAAATATGAATCGTCATGGATACATGCATGACCAACAAGGTGATAGTTTCAATGGCAAAATAAACCAACTAAATTTTTCTTACGACGAAAAGGCACCAACTTTTTGGCGTCCCACTCATTAGCATACACCATGCATCAAACCATAATATATCAAGATAAGAATGCAGAGATTAACACTCACCCATATGTGAATCAAGGGAAATGCTTTGGCTGCAATGGAAGTAAATGGCAAAGGGAAAAGTGGGTGATGAGTAGGGACTATTTAATAAAACGCGAGATTACAGTAATTCATATTCTTGAATCAGCAATTAAACAGTTATGAACCGAAGATAGTAACAAATTTAAAACAAGAAATTACAGCAATAACAGTCAAGAATTGAGGATAATAAAAAATTTAAAACAAGAGATTACAGCAATAAACAGTCAAGAATTGAGGATAGTAACAAATTTAAAACAAGAGATTACAGCAATAAACAGTCAAGAATTGAGGATACTAATAAATTTAAAACACGAGATTACAGCAATCAAGATTCACGAATATGAACAACCTTAATTACAGCGTTCACATAGAGAGAAATGCATGGAAATGGCGATATGAGGCAGTGCAGCCTCCTCGCATTTCAAACCAATATGTAGTCTGTAACATACACAGGGAAAAGGCATCTTTCTCGAGTATCTTCATACTCTTGTCGCTACTATTGTGGTTCTTGGACATTATCATAGATGATTTCATACTGAAGTGCTATTAACCTTTTTGTCTTTAGCCTAACAGACTAGCCTTTCCCTTAAATTTCTCTTATTTGTGTTGGCTCTATGATTTTGCCGGGTATGCGACTTCAGTAAGGAAAATCAGGGCGATTTGCACAAATAGTATCATTTCGGGCTACTGTTTATCTTTTGTACCTCTTTAAAGAATTTGTGCGAAAATAAGCCTTTTTAAGTTTAATGGAAAATAAACTTGGACTATAATACTCTCCAACCTAAAATAGCCGAGCAGGATACTCGAACTTTAGATCAAACACCACCAAGATTTCGCAATCAAATTCAGTAAAAGTATAATTCAATAAGTTAGGAGCACCTTCTCCTATTGTTTAACAATTTCAGCCAAACTTCTAGTACATTTATGCAAACAGATGACTTCCAAAAATTCAAAAGATGATGAAAAGGCTAAATCGTATGGGTCTAAGCAAAAGTCCAGCAGTAAAAAAAAAAACACAGTTAAATATTTTATCTCTATGTGAATTAGTTTGAGAAGTGAAAAGAACCTTAATGTCAGGAATTCTGACTGCATAATTTCAATTCAGTCTAGCATATCTGCTAACGAATAGACAATTACAGTAATAAATTTATAATGTAATCCTAGTCAATATCTAATATAACTGAGATGAGTAGTTATCTGAAGATGCTCATGGCAGTATCTACTTTCAAGTTTCAAGGGCTAAATTGATTCTTGAATTCCAGTACCGTACCTAACGGATTAAGGTTGCTACTCTTTCATGTAACACTAGTCTGCATTATTCATTGCGCCACCCCTCTCTGTAAACATTTCTGAGAAAAAAAGAAGGAAAAAACAACCTATATAAAGATCATATTATCCTCCAATCTTTTGTTCTAATTTTACTGGATATATTTGAAAGAACTCAATCTTCTTAATTCTCAAAACCATAATAGATTTTAATACAAAAAGACACTGTTTTACTTGCACCTAAGAAAGAAAGCAAATTATGTAACCCTGGGCTTAACACATGCATTGCTTATAAGCATGCATGTGTTACGTAGTTACAAACATAGACATTTATAAGTATTCATACAAGCACAAATGAGTTCTTTTTAGTAAGTCGTACAAACAAACAGGTGCACGTAACTTTGGAAACTAAGATAATTCAGTAATTATATCATATCCTAAATGAAGCTGCACCATATAAAGAGGTATTCAAAAACTGCAGAAAATATTGCATGCACGTGTTTACCTATTATGCAGGTAATACATACACATTTATGCATATAATATCAACACATTTCTCCCACTAAGTTGAGCACATAATACAGTACACATAACCTAGCAAATAGATCAGCAATTATATCAAGAACTAAAATGAAGCAGCACCAGTAAAGGGGTATTCAGAACCAGCAGAAAATATCCAACAAACCAAATTTATGGATATAAGCTACTCAAAACCAACATGAGTAGTAAGTTATGTTTAGCTTCGAGGTCTTGCTAAATCTTATTATCATCGAAAAGCAAGAAAAAGCATCAAACTTACTAAATATAGAAGAACTAAAAACCATTGTTTTCTCTATCTGAGAACGGTTCCTTATTTTTAAGTTCCGCTCAACTCTCTTGAGCACATCAAACAACCAGATGCAGAAAGACGCCACCAGTCGGTTCACCCAGCCAAACTGTAACTGATTACTGCAGCCGAGCGAGCACAGAGTGCACGGACTATAAGTCTAGAATAGGCAATGCATCCCTCTTGCAAATGGGGCAAGAGTTCTTGCGCTCGATCCACTTTTTAATACAATCAACATGGTATAAATGGTCACAATCAATTTTTGCAAGTTCTTCCCCGTCGCAGTAGTCATCCTAATACACAAATGACCAAAAAGAAGAAAAAAAGGTTAGAATCAAACTTAAGTAAGCTGACAGATTTGGGGGGGGGGGGGGTGCTGAAATTAGGTGCTCTTTACCAAGCATATGCAGCAGTTCTCCTTGCTCTCAAGAGATGTTGACGACTCGTACTTATGCAGCTTAACGCTTAAATCAAAAGCTCTTGCTCTCCATCCAGCACTAACATTTTTCAGATACCTGTGTAGTTTGAATAATTCCTGAAAGATAAAACACTTTGTTACAGGATGTCATCTATTCAAAGGAAGATTCAAAGTATGCTGTACCAAACACTAATTTATTGTGTTTCTAAAGCATTACCTCAGAAGATAAGATACCCTGCCCGGCATCTTCATCTTCATCTTCATCTTCGTCCACATCTTCATCTTCATCTTCATCTTCATCTTCATCTTCTTCGTCTTCCAATTCATCGTCACTTTCCTGAAATGATAAACTCACTTAGGAGCAGACTCATTGAACACCATACCAACAACAAAATTGCATGACAAATATATAAGAGCAGAAGAGAAATTCTAGCCTTAGCTCTGGGTTATACCAAAGTGAGAAGGAAATCTGCGACAAACTTCCCTTCCTTTTTTAAGTTTCTATTTTTTAATGAGTGACAAGCTCTTAATTGAGTTGAATGAATAACCCGACAGCATTGTTCTTATTCAGTTGCAAACAGAAGGTAGACAGTAGGTAGAGAATACAACTACTCTTACATAATCAAGCAACAGAAGAAGTTACTCATGCAAACATAATAATAAATTATTGGGTTGCAATATTCAGATGCTAGTAACAATTGGTGTTAAAACTGATAAATATCATTTTATATGGAACTAAACGTGTGCACATAAAATGAAGCTCAACTGAAAAGTCACATCATTCCTATTCGTATTCATATAGACAAAAGTACACAAAGCCCTTGTTTTGAGTATAAAGAATTGGTGTTGGCATTCAAGTTCCTGAGCTAGGTCAGGGTAGAACGCTAACTTCGTCTATGATTTATTTATCTTCAATTAAGTGATACTCTGTCTTTTTCTTTGGAATAATGTGAAATTTAGGTTATTGGAAAGTTACAGAAAACTAGTACTCAGAGAAAACTTACAGGTTAGCAAGATTTTAAGAACCAGTGGCTAATACATGTATTTGTAATTAATGCAACTCAACAAGGAATTATTGGAAAATAACAATAAAATTTTCTGAGGAAGCAACTTTTTCCTAAGCAGGAAATACCTAAAATACTTAAAAGTGTACAATTAAGTTTCAAATCAAGTATCAAACACGGTGATGTTGATAAGACATGGCAGAGATAAACAAACAAACTGAAATAGAGTATTTCTAAAAACATTGGATGGGTAGAAGGGAGATATCAAACAAAGGGGAGATTAGCAAGAAAATATTCTAGAGAAAAATTTCATCATCTCTAAATCCTTTTCCAAAATCAATATCCATAATGAGCCCAATTTTGTTAAGGAATAGATGGCTAAATAATATAGAACCACCAACATAAAAAAGAGGAGTACGACTGAAACCTTAGTAAAGTGAAGAAACTTAACTGGAATCATGAGAGCAAGATTATTTCGAATCAAGGAAGTCAACGCTGCTGTTGTTTCCTGCAGTCCCTGGATCACGGACACAATACTCTCAACCATCCGTTCAGGAGTATTTTCAACTCTTACCCTATAAGCAGGAGTTGAATTAGTAGCAGCATTAAGAGTTCCGTTGAAGGTCAAGTTGCTGTCACCATTAGTTCCGTAGCTCTCCATCTGAGGTGCAATAAGAAATGAATTGCTGTTTGTTAGAACAATTGGTTGAGATATTGAAAGAAGGGTAGCTTAGTGAAGAGCTTGAAAATCTCTCCTTTTTTTTTTCTAAAGAAGGTAAGAGAAGAGCTAGAAATTTCTTTTCAGCAGAATTCCGGAACAAACTAGGAGGATGAGGTAACACCAATGTAAACCACCAGTACAGTAGGTGATGGGAAAAACTAAAGGGCAGCCCGATGCACTAAGCTCCCGCTATGCGCTGGGTCCGAGGAAGGGCCGGACCACAAGGGTCTATTGTACGCAGCCTTATCCTATATTTCTGCAAGAGACTGTTTTCACGGCTCGAACCCGTGACTCCCTGGTCACATGGCAACAACTATACCAGATACGACCAAGGCTCCCCTTCCGGGTGATGGGTAAAACTACCTCATTAAAAGACATTCTAAGTTGAAATATAAAGAAAAAGGTAGATATACTATTAAGCTCCAAACCACTCTCGAAAAGCTCGTAGTTTTTTTATTTTATTTAGTTGGAACAAGCTAACTCCTGTAAATAGCCCGGTTATGTTTCGGGATTTTGTTAGCGCTCTGATTCTAGAATAGGCCTGATGTACTAGAGCTAACATTTTCTTTTTTGTGTTTCCTCTTTTGTACTTCAGCATCTACTTGATGCATTATTAAAGAAACAACCTACTTCACAAAAAAACGGTAGATATACTATTAAGGGTTGCAACTAACATGCCCAACTAGGTTAGTATTAAACCAACCCAAGACAACGCTAAATCCTTTGGGTGGGGGAGGAGGGAAAGGGAAAGAAAAACAAAAACTTCTCTCGGAATAGTTATTTTGCATTCTTAGATACGCGGATGATAAATCATAAATGCAACTCGGAAAGTACTATACCAACCCAAGCCAAGTCCGAACACCTAGAGGTTAAAGAAAGGAAGAGAAGGAAAATTGAAACTTAACTTAGCTATTTGGCGTTTAGTATTAGGAAAATTGTTTCCATATGTTCCCACATTCGGAAAACTAGTTAAAAACTATCCGGAACCTCACTAAACATGCATTTCCTTTAAGCCGTTACTCATTATTTTTCACTACTTCACGAAAAAAATCAATATTTCATAATTGAAGAGTAAAGTAAATTTCACATTAAGCCAACTTCCGGAAAAAACAAAATTGCAAAAAGGGAATTATCCCATAAACCGTTTACAAGAAAACACAGTTGCCAGAGAAGTAGGTAAAGGAATATTTACCTCAAGTGTTGCAAATGTTCCCTTAAGTAGATACGAGATAGAGAAACTTCAGTTGTCTGCAAAAATAAAAGTCATAGCTCAGGCTGACGAACAACAAAAGAAGTTTAGTAGTATCTGGAAGCAGTAAGTAGTGTTTGATAAACTGCAAAGTAATTCGAACTCTCTTGCCCGAGAGCAGCATCTAGCCAATGATTTTTTTCATTATAAGCTAGTGTCCTTCAAGAAGAAAAGGAGCATCATCCTTAATCTGAACTAAAAGATCAATGACAATCACCCGAAAAAGTTTGTTACACATGTAACTTGTCAATTAGTCGATCAACTTTGCTAATCCCAAATTACTTGGGGTTGGCTATATGAAACCTTTGAATCTACTCCACTCTATTAAAGATAAACTGTTCCCCAAGTTATTTATCAAAATAGACCCTTTGTTACTACTCCAAGAAGCCCAACTGTTGAAACAGTTGATCAGTTAATAGTAATCCGAGCCAATGACTTTGAAATAGATTGAAAAGGTCTAGATGCTCAGTAGTTACATCCCAACAATATTATTAATAGAAAATGGTACATAGAGACGTATTCCTTTAAACAAAGATTATCTTTAAAAGATAAATGGATTAAAGATTTAAAAAGAATCAAATGTGATATTGAATTCTTTAAGTGGTTTGAAATAACAGGACAGATTCCAAATCAAAAGGAATCCCTTCAAATGTTAGTTAATAAATGAAACCCCTTGCTCTTTTAGTATTCAAAAGGTTCACCATAGGTAGACTAATAACATTAAAAAAAAAAAAAAAAAAGGAGAAAA